CTAGAACACTTACCTAGCGGGGGAAGACTATACTATGATGGACCTTCCCTCCAAAAAAGAATTCCGTGTTTTTGGGTCCCCTCTCCTAGGCTTTTATCCTCATTTGCCTGAGATTTCTACCCTTGCTTCTCAGTTCTGTGTGTATATATTGTTGATAGGAATATCTGCATCAGTTTCTGGCAACAAAAATGAAGCAAAGAATGTGACATGTAATTTAGTCTGATGACCTTGTAAAATGTTGATAAAATGCTCTTAAAATTATAAAATTTAAATTGATGGCCATGCAATGTGAGACACTTCACTCCTGGCTATTGAACTCTTGTCTTAAAATCTCCTACATAATCTGAAATAATACATTTTAAACCACAAATCCACTCTGAATTCTCAGTTATCTCCTCTCCTAGTTTATGATGTGGAAGTATTTTTGAGCAACAAAGACAAGTTCACCAATGTCCAAGGCACATGGTTGGTTTTTTAAGGTTGTTGTTTCTTTGTCATAATAAAGTAAGAAGAGCTATAATTAAACCAAAGTAATACCTAACTTTAATCTAGTCCCTGAAATTATTCTAAGAATGGGCATGGGAAAATAATCTATTAAGAAAGACAGGATGAAAAATAATGTTTTCCCCTGATTATAAAGCCTACCAAAACAATAGACTTAGCATTATGTGAGTGTTGTATTCCTATCTTATTTTTCTATAGTGACTACAGCATCAGGCCATTATCCTAGTGATTTGTGGAATTGTTTTTTTTTACTGTGAAATCAGAGTGTACGTTCTCATTACTGGATCATCCTGTTCAGTAATTTTTATATCCTCCATTAGGCTAGAATATAACCAACTTATTTATTCAATTCTCTCATGCAGTCTGGATATCTGGTCTGGTTGTGCTGTTTGTTCATGATCTCATGATCTTCTTGTTTTTAACCATATGTTGTACCTTGTTATATTGGGGTTGAATCAGTATTTTCTCATGTATAAATTAATTTCCCATCACTTCCTATCCTATTCTATAAAACATTGCTCAAAGAAATCAAAGAAGACACAAACGGAAACATTGCTCATGGATTGGAAGAATTAACATTGCTAAGATCTCCATTCTATGAAAGGAAATCTACAGATTTAAAGCGATACCCATTAAATTACCAACATCATTTTCTCAGACCTGGAAATGGCAATACAGAAATTCTTATGGAAACATAAAAGACCATGAATAACCAAAACAATCCTTAACAAAAGAAACAAAGTGGGAGGTATAACACATCCAGGCTTCAAACTCTACTATAAAGGTACAGTAATCAAAACAGCTTGGTATTGGTTCAAGAACAGCATGTAGACCAATGGAACAGGATAGAGATTCTGGAAGCAAAACCTCATTTTCTCAACCAACTCATCTTCGACAATGTCTTCGCCAACAACCACTGGGGAAAGGAGAACCTATTCAGTAAATGGTGCTGGGATAACTGGCTGATCACATGCAGAAGATTGAAATAGGACCCCTACCTATCACCATACACAAAAGTCAGCTCTAAATGGATCAAAGACCTGAATATAAAACCTCAAACTATAAGAATCCTAGAAGAATGCGTAGGAAACACTCTTAGGCACATTGGAGTAGGCACAACCAATGCTTGATCAATTCTCTAAAAGCAAATGCCATAAAAGGTAAGATAGACAAGTGGCACCTCATCAAACTGAAAAACTTCTGCAAAGCAAAAGAAACCATCAAGACAGTGGGGAGACAGCCAACATAATGGGAAAAAATATTTGCCACCAGTAAATTTGACAAAGGTCTAACATCCAGGATCTACCAGGAACTCAAATGTGCCAAAAGGAAAAAACAAACAAACAAAACAACCCTATTAAAAAGTAAGCAAAAGATATGAATAGACACTTCTCAGGAGACAACATATGAGCAGATATATGAAAAAATGCTCAGCCTCACTAATCATCAAAGAAATGCAAATTATAACCACACTGAGATACTTCCTAACTTCAGTCTGGATAGCCTTCTGAGATACCACCTAACTTCAGTCTGGATTACCTTCATCAATAACTCAAAAAGCAACAGATGCTGGAGAGGATGCGAGGAAAAGGAAATGCTTCTATACTGTTGGTAGTGTAAATTAGTACAACCTTTGTGGAAAAGCGTGGCGTTTTATCAAAGATCTAAAATTCAATCTTCCATATGATCTAGCAATCCCCCTTCTGGGAATATACCCAGAGGCACTCAAATCACTGTATAAAAAGATATTTGTACATGTATGTTTATTGCAACATTATTCATAATAGCAAAACTTGGAACCAATCGTGCTGCCCTTTAAAAGTGGACTGGAAGCCAGGCTTGGTGGCTCAGCCTGTAATCCCGTGCCTTTGGGAGGCTTTGGTGAGTGGATTGCCTGAGCCCGAGGGTTTAAGACCCACCTGGGCAGGCGAGACCTCATCTCTACAATAAAATCAAAAAATTAGCCAGGCATGATAACGAGCGCCTGTAATTCCGGCTACTCGAAAAGCTGAGGCGGAAGGATCTCTGGAGCTCAGCAGGTCGAGGCTGCGGTGGCCGGGAGCGGCCACTGCACTCCAGTCTGGGTGACAGAGTGAGACTTCAACTCAAAAAAAAAAAACAAGAAAAAAAAGAAAACATGTCTTCTCTTGTTCTGGGTCATTTAAAGAGGCAATATAAAGGAGTAAAAACAGAGGTCATGTTTTTATGACTAATAGGCACTAATTATATGATCTGATCTCAGCTTTGCTACTAAATGACTGTGACTGTACGTCACTTACACACATTGTATCATAGATTCTTCGCCACTGTGAGGAGAGATAACAGTAGGGGCATCTAAGAAGTCATTTTTCATCTCACATCAGACTTGTGTGATTCCAAGTCTATGGTTACAAATTGTTTAGCTGATTTTAAATTACAAGCAGAAGGATTGTGCACTTCTTTGCAAATTTACCAATGAGCTAATACAGAAGAAAATTGTGAAGAGTGTACATGAGGAGACGTCAACTTTAGAAAGGAAGATGGAGCTGGGCTTGGTGGCTCAGCCTGTAATCCCGCGCCTTTGGGAAGCTGAGGTGAGTGGATTGCCTGAGCCTGCGGGTTCGAGACCCGCCTGGGCAGCGAGACCTCATCTCTATAATAAATCACAAAGAAATCAGCCGGGTGTGGTAGCACATGCCTGTAATTCCGGCTACTCGGAAGGCTGAGACGGAAGGATCGCCAGAGCCCAGCAGGTTGAGGCTGCGGTGGCCAGAAGCGGCCACTGCACTCCAGTCTGGGCAACAGAGGA